AATGCACTAATAACTATGACCTAGAAAACTGTGTTGCGTAGGGAAAATGTGTGTTGTACAAAAAAGGATTCTATAAGTTTTCAACAGTATAATTGCCTGATTTGTTGCAGAAACTTGTCTTTGTTATTAGGGAATGTTTGGATCGAGAACTTAAATCACATGAGGTATTGCACGTCACCCAGATGATCCAAATCATGTCACCGATAGATTTCTGTGACAGTTTTCATTCTGCGTCAAGTGCGACTCCAAAATGCGTCTACGCTATTTATGTGCACGTCTGTGTCTGCATTGATGAGGCTGATAGAGTGATTCACACACTCATCCTGGCTATCTCGGAACTTTTGAAAGTGCACCAGGCTACTACACACTTTCTCTCCTTCCTTAACGACCCATGGTTTTATGAAAACTGCACACAAGTGCCACCTTGAAATTTTGACATCAGTCAATACATATTCGAGCCATCTGACATGGCTTCAACGTTTTCATGTCAGAAATGAAGGCAAAACGACCAGCTATTCAACTCCTTAGGGAAATATGTGTTCCTTACCCTAAATATACTAACAATTGTGTAAAATTGTTTGCATATGTATGACACAACATAGGCTCACTAAGCATCACCATTAAGAGAAATATATGCTGAGTCGAAACGGGTAACATCAGGATGATGGGGGGGGGGATCTCCACGGGTAACGTGCGCTCGTCCGAGTAGCATAGGTTTGCGAAGCATTACCTATGCTTTAAGAATCCATACTGAGTCCTACTTAGGAGAAAACAGCGCAGTTGGTGCTCATACAGATGCTGTTTAATTGAACGTTGATCACTACGGCAAACAAGATGTGTGGGTATGGTGCGCAAGTCTGTTGTTGGTTTCTTTTTGAATCAGGGTTTTACCCAAATCCCCTGGGTGAACTTCCAGTGGTTCAGTTCAGTTCAGTTCAGTTTTTACAACCATTCACCATGCACTTTCATGCACCGGTTTTGGTTGCTGTCTTTTGGTTGTCCATCTGGATAAAAGAGCAAAATGTAGATTGGAATGTCGAAGGAAATTCAAGCGGGTGGTGGGGAATTCGTATAGTGGTGTTAGGAAAATAACGAGTGGATGCACGAGCGCCACCCAGCCATATCACTCAGTGTAGCTAACCATCGGTGACCATGATCTCTGGGTCCCCAGCCAGGGAGCCTAACGGGACCTATGTGACCTAGTCTCCTGGTCAAGGTTTTCATACCCTCATGCCAGGTCTTAGTTTGACCACTTTTTATCTTTTTCCAATCGCTACCAGCCTTGGCAAACATCGGTCGCTGTCCCCATCGGTTTTTAAGAATGTAGGCTCAGCCTTTGTTTTTGAGTTACCAAAACTCCTCGGCTCAGTGTGGGAGAGAGAAGAGGTTCTAACTGAATGGTTTGAATCGGTGATCATACCGATTTACAAGAAGGGCGACAGGTCCTGTGAAAACCGCAGAGGAAATAGTTTCATCAACATTGCCTCTAAACTCCTCGCCGGTATCATATTCCGTCGATTGTCTGCCGCTCGTGAAGAGTGCACACGTGAGAACCAGGCCGGTTTTAGACCTGGTCGAGGTTGTATCGACCACATCTTCACTCTTCGTCAAATCCTAGAAAACAGATACTATCCGTAGACCCACCATCTCTGTTTTCCTCGATTTGAAAGCGGCTTTGGACTCAGTCGACCGCTCTAAACTCTGGCGCTGCCTTTCCCTGAAGGAAATGCCCGAGAAGTTTATTTCAATATTATAATCGCTCTACAATAATAGCCGAAGCCGACTCCGAGCTTACGGCACGTTTTCACCTGAGTTCACCACCGAAAGTGGTGTTCGACAGGGTTGCCCTCTCCCTCCTTTTCTATTTAATTCTTGGAACAGCCCTATCTCCATGCGAGGCTAGCGGCATCGATTTACTTCCATGTGGCAGACTGTCTGATCTAGAGTATGCAAACAACATTGTGCTACTAAGTGAAGATCCAGGTAAGTTGCAAGCTTTTCTGAATCGATTGAGTGCCAGTATGTTCGGTATGCGTTTTGTACCTTCAAAGTGTAAAATGCTTCTCCAAGATGGGGTTGGCCCAGTCCCCAACCTCATCCTGACGGGAGAAGTTGTAGAGAAAGTAGACAAGTATTGCTATCTGGGTAGCTATATCTCACCCGGTGGACGCATCACAGATGAAGTGTCGGCGCGCATGCAGAAAGCTCGGTTGGTATTTGCCAACTTGAGACATCTGTGGCGCCGTCTCGACATCCGGTTGTCTGTGAAGGGTCGAGTATATGCTGCAGCAGTTCGGCCAGTTCTGCTTTACAATGCAGAGACTTGGCCATTACGGGAACAGGATAAAAGTAGATTGTCGGTGTNTTGTACGAGTCTGGTGGGGAAACCGGACGAGCAATACTGAGGTTAGTTGTAGAGTTTTAGGCAGTCACGGTCGTCCACTGGAACAGGTAGTCGATCCCCATAGATTACGCTGGTTGGGACATGTGTTACGTATGTCGCCAGATAAGTTGCCAAGGCGAGCGATGCTTGGTGAGGCAGGTAGCGGTTGGAGAAAAATGAAGGGCGGTTAAGCTAAGACCTGGCATGAAGGTATGAAAACCTCGACCAGGAGACTGGCTTACATAGGTTCCGTTAGGCTCCCTGGCTGGGGACCCAGAGATCATGGTCACGGATGGTTAGAGACACTGAGCGATATGGCTAGGAGTCGCAAACAG